ACAAAGGAACCACCTCCCAATGCCATTACATGGGCCATTAAATTTCAACATGGATGGCAGAGGCAACAAAGACCCAAGACACTGCACCGCCTTTAAGACATCCTTGTTTTCTTTCACACAGTAGTAAAACTGAGTAGGGTCAAATGTAAAATTTGCTTTGATTTGCAGCTCTGCTGTCATCAAGCCAATGTCACGCTGATTCCTGGTGTCAGTGTACCTGTCCTCTCAGCAAAAGCATTTGAGTATGGAATTGCTGGGTTTCTGTTCTCGCGGCTAAAAGGCTCAGGGGTCACTCCAGTTAAACTGGGCTAACTGGGCTGCACAAAATAACCACACAAGAGACACAAATACCTTTTTGTTTGGGGTCACTGTGACGGCTCCTCTGACCTTAAGGGTCCGCAGGAAGAGAGAGTGAGAGCATGCGCTGATCCCTTTTATTGAGGAGAAGCTATTCAAATGAGGCAAGGAGTCAGGTTTCAGGGGGCTGAGTCTATCTTCATGATGTCCACTGTCAGCAGGTTGACTGACATCTGGTTAGGTAACACCCAAGGGGACACACACAAGGCACTTCCATGGAAGATTCTATCCTAAACAGGGCAAGGGGTCATATTACAAAGGAACAGTGGGTGTAGCTTCACCCATGGGGCTGTAGCAAGACACACCCATGCACGAGACACTGTCCCTTGAACCCAAGAAGGGTGGGGAAAGCTCTGCCACATTTCTGCGACTGAGCGCCTCAGCACCCAGCCGGGGAGTGTGACTCAGTCACGTGTAAGGTTGGTCTCCCACATGGAATGCTTAGGATTTTACTCACTGACAATAGCAGGTCTTACGTGGAAGAATTCATTTCCAGCTCTCTAAAGTCTCCACCCACAAATGTCCATCAGGTTCTTTGCATCTAGAAGTTCACGGCCATGGCTCTAGGTCTCTGAAATGCCCATCATTTGTAAACACTCCAAAGCACATAGGATGTCAAGGTAAGTAACATTTCTCTTCCTCAGGGAAGTGGTTTTAAAACACAGAAGGAATTTGTACTTTCGAAATCAAAGTTGGATTCCAAATGACGTACAGCTTTAGTGAAGAAATTGAGAACATCCTGTGTAACTTGGCTGATCTTTCCTAGAGACAGTTTTCTTTTGCGTTCTAACACCATCTTTTCTTTTTCCTGCTGTGTCTGTCCGAACCTTCACAGACTCCCCACAACCGAGGAGCAGGCAACTCATTCTTGTCCATGCTCCTCACCGTTTCCTCAAAGAACCTCAGATAGTCTGGGGGAAAGAGAACATAAATTTGCAAATTATTATAATAATTTTTTCTTTATTCTCATCCTCAATATGTATTTCCAAAGTAGAGAAGGACATTGTTTTTAGGGGGGTGGGTGGGTAGCAGGGATTGAACTCGGGGGCACTCAACCACTGAGCCACCTCCCCAGCCCTATTTTGTATTTTATTTAAAGACAGGGTCTCACTGAGTTGCTTAGGGCCTCACTGTTGCTGAGGCTGGCTTTGAACTCTGATCCTCCTGCCTCAGCCTCCTGAGCCACTGGGATTACAGGTATGTGCCAACCATGCCCTGCAAGGAGGACATTCTTATTCTTCCCTTTCAAATATGATTTTTTGACAGGTTAGCTTTTCAAGACAAGTTTCTGTGCCCTGCATTAGTGACAACCACTCAGTCTAAGGAGGCCATCTTTTTTCATTTCTATAAATCAAAAATCCCAGTCAGTGCTTATGCACATTTTGAGACAAATAAAAAATCACCAAGAACTTATAATATGCTAGGTAAGCAAATCACACCTCTTTTGGAAGTGTGGGGTCCAAGGCATTTAGGAGATCATATCTGTTCACTCTATTTGGTAACAAGTTCAGAGGTGGAATTGAATTGGCTAATGTTTATTTTTATACTGTCTGATGAATTCATAGAGATGAGCAGAGCTCAGCTTGTGTTTGCACAAGATATCATCAATCTTTTGTCCTCTGTTTTCTGAAGTTTTATTAAAATTTTCATAGAAATTAAGACAATAAGAAATTCCATTTTTCAAATAAAAATACTTTAAAGACATGAATTGGCGTGAATATACTTTATATACAAAGATATGAAAATTTGTGCTCTATATGTGTAATAAGAATTGTAATTCATTCCGATGCATGTATTTAAAAAAATAAAATCAATTAAATTTTTAAAAAAATTTAAAAATACCTAAGAATGAAGGGAAACATTCTTTGTTGCTTTGATTCTCACACATAAAGTTTCTAAGAATCTGATAGGATTGGTTCTGTACTATCAGGGTCAACACATCTTTTATCAAAATTTCCCATTGTGTTCACGTCAGGACATTGTATTCACAACCTCTGAATCAGGAAATGTAACTTTACCCTGTTTTATAGGGAAACCCAGTAAATAATATGATTATGTATATTCATTTATGCGAGACACCCAAAATAATTCAATGGTCACTATTTTTGACTGAGTATTGGTGTCTATTGGAGTCTAATTTAGAAGTATTGTCTATCCTCATTGTCTGTGGATTCCATATTTGTAAATTCATCTACTCCCTAAGATTTATTTGTAATTCCAAAATCAGTATTCAAGTGTTTTCATGTTTATTCACAGATATACACAGAGCTGCCAAAAATCTGAGTTGCATTTTATTTTTTGCTTTCTGTTGTTGTTCTCAGTGTCTAAAGTGATCCCCAAATGCAATGCTGAAGTGTGTCTAATGTTTCCAAGTGCAAGAAGGCCATGGTGTTTCTTAGCGATTACACGTTGAGATGCTTTCCCCAGACAAGCATCAATGAATTAACAATATATATTAAATATGTTATCTTTAAAAAGAAACACGATTAAACACAGTCGTATATCAATTGGCTGACCAAAACTGTTACCAAAGTTTGCAGGAACCTAACCCTGTATTCCTCCATGGAGCAGTATTTAGGTGTTCACTATTTGGCATTCATGACGATTTTATAGAACATAATCACCACGAACACCAAGAATTGCCTCCATTCGCCTACCTCACCCTGGACTTGTGAGATTCCATCTGCTTCTGAAAACCATCACCTCTTCCACCATATCCAACCCATCTCTTCCACCATATCCAGTCCAACCCAAACCTTTCTCTGCAGAGTGCTCATTGTGGTTCATTTTCCTCCTAACCCAATTCTGTGTCCTTCCATTCACCATTTAGATAATACAGTTGTCTATACATTTTTAGCGATGTCTAGGTCGTTCTGGCATTGGTATTATAACCATTTCCATTTTCATTGTCTGAACTTTTAGGAAGCATGTTAGAGTATTCCAATGTTAAGAATTAAATCAGCACTATCTCAATACAAAATATCACAGTCAATCCACAGGTAAAGCTAAAGTCGCACACTTAAATCCCATCTGAAAGATCGAACAAGGCTGGTCGCAGAGAAAATGCCCCTTTACTGAGGAACAGCTCTGCATATTTATAGAGCCGGGTGTGGTTTGACAGTTATGACAGTTTAATGGTTGAAGGGTTTGACAGTTGGCATGGGGTGCTTTCTGATTGGTGGGTAAGGATCATGTGAGCCAGCAGGGCTAGTCTGATTGGTGGGTATGGATCATGTGAGCCAGCAGGACTAGTCTGATTGGTGGGTAAGGATCATGTGAGCCAGCAGGGCTCACCATTGGACAGCTCTTGGGGGGGGGGGGATGGGAAAGTTAGTCTTTGGAGCCAGGTTGACTCCCAACACCATCAGTCAATTCACTCACTCATCCTCTGATGACCCACTGCTGTGGACCTCAAGTCATGGTTCCAGTGTCACTTGGGGGTGGATGATCCATGCTTTAGTCATTTGACACTGAAGTGAGTGTTCATTTCAGCCCCTATTTTTTTTTTTTTTTTTTTTGGAATGCTATATTGGACTTCCTTCTATCTTCTTAAACCATCATGAAAAACCAGGGCCTTAGGTGTCCTGGGACCGAAGAAGGCCCCAGAATGTGGAGTGACAGCCCTGGGCAAATCTGGATAGCTGGCCACTCTCAGAGGTAGGTGACTTCAACTCTCTTAGCTTGATTTTGTTTGTTTTGTTTTTCTTTGTCTCCACACGGACAATAACATAGTCATATTACTAGTTACTGATTTTTCTATTCCAGATATAATTCACTGTGTCTTACTAGTGACAATGAGAACTTGATTCTCTTTTCAAGCCCTTGTTTCTCAGCTCCAGTGTATTTTTGTTGTTGTTGCTTTATACATTCTTTCTTTGGAGCAAACCATCCAGTGGCTTCCTGAGAAGTGGTGCACAAGAGGTGAGCTTTTTTTAAAAACAAAACAAAACAAAAAACACTCAAATTGTAAAAAACGAAACAAAATAAAAAATCCCACCAAGAGTGTCTGAGTATCAAGTCCCATTTGGAAAAAAGCATACAAAACGGTTTCCAGGCACTATAAAACAATGTCTTTATGAAGGCTCAGAATCTCATCCTAAACACATCAGATTCTGACTTCTTCATTCTTCCGAAGCTGATTCTGCCAATGATTCTCCAGAAGGGAACTAGCCATAAAAATACCAAAAACTATGTAAACAAAGGGAACTAGCCATAAAAATACCAAAAACTATGTAAACACCTCCATTCTTTTAAAAATGTTTTTGTTAGTGCATCATAGTTATACATAATAGTGGGTTCCTTCTGACATGTTCACATACCCTGGAATGTAATTTGCTCCATTTCAGTCCCCAGATTGGACTTCCTTCAATCTTCTTAAACCATCATGAAAAAACAGGGCCTTAGGTGTCCTGGGACTGAAGAAGGCCACTTCCACTTTCCTTTCTTCCTCCCCTGTTCTCCTCGCTCCACTCCGCTGGTCTTCCTGAACACCTCCATTATTAAGGAGAACTCCAAGGTACTTATGCGCCAAAATGCCTGCACCCACTGCTCTCTCCAAGTCCACATTCACAAAATCCTTGCAGAGTTATGTCGTCGATGTTATCAACCATCCTCCCCCTTGCTGTGACTGTTCAATCAAGTAGCTCAGCTTTCCTAGTCACTGGAGCTGAACTGTCTGTACTAGAATTTCCCAGGTTAAGGGTGAGAGACAGAATAGTAATGGTGATGTCTTATAGCAAGCATCCGCTTTCTATTTACAAAACTGATGGTCCTGACAGACTCCTCAATTTTGTCCAAAATGTGGTACTCACCCCTTTTTTTAGAGCGCCATCTGCTGCTTCTTCTGACTACTGCATACTTTCCAATTTATTTAGCCCACCCCTGGTAAGAGATGGGAAAGGGAAGCCTTGCTCTCATTCAACCAAATGCTGATGAAGTACCTATTGAGTGTCAGTCATTTCTCCAAATATAGAATAAAATGGGAAGTGCCAGGTGTGATGGTTCACGTCTGTAGTCCCACCTACTCAGGAGTCTGACTTGAGGCAGGAGGATTGCTTGAGCCCAGGAGTTCAAGGCCAGCCTAGGAAATAACACCCGTCTCTTGAAAATAAAAAGTAGAAGCATGTTGAGACTAGAAGGGTGTGATTTTATATAGGGTGACCATGGAAGACCTTTTTGTTATTTCTGAATGCAGTGTAGGTCTTGAGCCATGTTTCTATCTGGGAGAAAAATGTTCTAGACCTAAGATCACCAAAGTGAAGGACTAGGAGAACGATCTTTCAGATAGAGGAGCAACAGGTGTAAAGGTCAAGAGTAGAGGTACCTGTGGCATCTTCCATGCCCAGGGGAGGAGGACGGTGCCCAGGAGCAGAGTGGAGGTGGGAGCTGAGGGGGAAACCAGGGCCAGGCCATGGGGCACCATGCTGGCTCCAGTGAGGACCCCAACTTTATGCTAAGTATGATGAGAAATCACTCCCTGGGTAGTTTTGAGCAGAAAAGTACCATAACCAAAACCAGATTTTGAAATTGCCTTACCATATGGAAGGCCAACAACCGAAGAATGGACATGTATTAGGTTCTCTAGAGGAACAGAAAGTATGATTATAAAAGGGGGATTTATTAGGTCGGCTTAAGCAACCAGAAGCTGGATAGTCCACAGTGGCCATCTGCAGGCTGGAGAGCTGGAGGAGCCAATAGCTGCACAGTTCAAGAGGCTGAAGCCCCCGAACAAGAGACTGAAGGCTTCTGGAGAATCATTGGCAGAATCAGCTTTGGAAGAATGAAGAAGCCAGAATCTGGTATACTCAGATGATCACAGCAGCAATCAAGAACGCATTCAAGAAGAACTGAGCTTGGGGCTGCTTCCTTGTTCTTCCAACTTTTATTCCATCCAAGCCACCATCTTATTGAATGGTGCTCCCCACACTTAGGGAGGGTCTCCACTTCAGGTGGCTATCCCACATGTCCACCCTCATGGACACACCCAGAAGCATATCTTAATCTGATCAAGTTGACAATTCAAATTAACTATTACAGGCTAGCAATAGAGTTAGAAGAGAGTCTAGTTTCTGCTATATTCAAAGAGGAAGATGAAGGGTTTGTGAATAGGTTAGAAATTGAGTGTGAGAAAAAGACAGATGTCAACTGTGATGTAGAATTTTGGCCCAAGCAGTAGCGTGAACAGTGACACCAATTTCTGAGAACAAGAGTCCTAGTGGAAAACAGGTTTAGGAACAAAAACAAGAATCTGGTTTTAAGCCATTTATATTTTAGACATCTTTTAGAAAATCAAATGGTCCTATGGAGTAGCAAATAGAAAGCAGGAGTTCATAGATACACAGAGCTCAGGATGCAGTTATGAGGCCCATGAGCTTAGAGATGGAGTGGATGAGATCTCTAGGTAGACACAGGTGCCAACAGAGAAGTGCCCTGTGTCCTATGCTCTTGAAGGTTTAGGTTAGGAAAGGCAGAGGATAAAAGAAGTCCACAGGGAAGTTGTAGCTAAGAAACCAAAGGCAGGAGGCCTTGTAACTGCAGGGCTGAGAAAGGGAGAGCATGCAGGCAGTGAGGTGGGGGAAGACTTGGTCAACATGATGAGGTCATCTGTGTCCCCTAAGAGGTGCTTATTGAAGTTGGGCTTCTTCTTTCCTACAGAGGATAGAAGATGGGGACTCTATCCTCTCAGAAGGGTGCATTTCAAAGGGGTGTCTCCCAAGTCTTTAAGAAAGACATTCCTGAATTGTAAAAGATTTCTATCTCAAGGGGCAGGGAAAATATTTATAATTGCCAGTCCTCTAAAAGATATGCTGTAAGAAAACAAAGGTTGGGGCTCAAGGTCAGGCTTTGACTAAAACAAACAGTAAACTCTTTTGGAATTACTGAGCTTTCTCGGCAGGAGGCTTGTGAGGACTGGGGCCCAGCCCTTCACCCTAGGGATGCGACCTTGAATTGTTAGAGAGCGTGCTTGTTAAATTCTATTTGCATTGGGGGTAGATGAAATCGTTTCTTCTGAGAACCTGCAATTCTCATGGACCAAAGTTGGGGTGTCTTGTCTAGAAAGGGCCCAGGGGAGCCTGGTTAGAGTTTGGACAAGAAAGGGGTCTTTGTCACTGGTTGGTGTGCTGCTGGATGGGGAAGGAGTGCCAGAGGAGGTGGAGGGCTGACATCCAAGTGTGGAGGGCCCAAGTGGACACAAGGTGCGGCTGACCCCTTCCTGGCTCACGCCCTCCTCCCTCTACTGCTCCCCTGACGTACATGCCCCATGGTGCGCTACCTCATGAGCTGTGACTCAGGGCTCTGTTTCCCAAGGAAGCCATGCTGTGGCTTTGGTTCACTGTCCCTGTCTGAGCTCAGGGGTTCTCCAGACAAGTTAGCTCACACCCCTGACCCCAGGGACCAGGGACCAGCTGGGGGTTTGCTCACCATCACCTGACTGACTATCCAGTGGCCTTCAAAACACTCATTTTTAACCTTTGTGTGCCATCTTAAAATCCAGTTTATTTCTGGGCCATGTAAGAACAGAGGGTTCATTGTAAGATTTTATACCACATTGTGCTGGTTCCCTGTGTACAATGGCCTAGTCCCCAAGTCTCAGACAACCTTCCTTTTTTTAATATTTATTTTTTAGTTGTAGGTGGACACAATATTTTTATTTCATTTTTATGTGGTGCTGAGGATCGAACCCAGTGCCTCACATGTGTGCCACGCAAGTATACTACCACTGAGCCACAACCTTAGCCCCATCAGACCTCCTTCTGTTAGATACTTCTGAGCCTGGAAAGAGATGTCCCCATCTTACATGGGCACCAAGGTAAGAGGGCAATACCTTCTGATTGAGCGATGGATTCATCATAAAAAAAGCCAAGCAATTTCTCAGCCAGCCAACTTAGTTTTTAAAAGTTATTTGCTGAGCAGACTGGTCATCTTTTCATATAAAATTTAGACTTCCATTCTGGTGACAATTTTCATCTCTTCTAAGGGAGACAATATGTTTTTGTCATTACTAGAATCACATGGCTTTTTATATTGCTTATTTAGAGTCTTTACCAGGAAGAGCCAAATCATGCTTTAAGCTCAATCCCAGCAATTATTTTAGTCGTTACTATTGGCACATTTGCTTTCTCCTTTTCTTTGCTTTTGTTCTTCTATTTTCAAATTGTACTACCCTGTACAACATATCTTTTGACTACCTGCATATTTTAAACCTTACAGAAAAAAAAATCTTGTTAATTTTTTAGAGAAATTGACAACTAACTTGAATGGACAAACAAAATACCTTGTGATTTTGACAAGAATATCTTCTATTCTGTATAAAATCTGTCTCTAGGTACTGATGACCTCAAAAATGATTAGAGTGTCTCGGGAGGCTGAGACAGGAGGATCACAAGTTCAAAGCCAGCCTCAGCAAAAGCAAGGCACTAAGCAACTCAGTGAGACCCTGTCTCTAAATAAATACAAGATAGGGCTGGGGATGTGTCTCAGTGGTTGAGTGCTCCTGAGTTCAATCCTCTCTTACACATCAGTAGTGTAGCAAAGAGCATCCTTTCTGCCAACTTCTATTGGAAACTTTGTTACAAACTAGCTTGGTTTCTGAGTGTGCATGTGTACGTGTGTGTGCGTGTGCGTGTGTGTGTGTGTGTGTGTTTCTATAAAATTCTTTCACATTAGCATTTTCCTAACTTTGTACTAAAAAACACTAGCATCAGACAGCCACCCAAGTGTCTACCAACAAGAGAACGGATAAACCCACCATGATATAGTCATACAATGAACTGTTATTCAGCAATGAAAGTGATAAATTATTGATCCACACAACAGATTGATAAAGCTTCAAAACATTGTGTAATATGAAAGAAACTAGATAAGGAGTGCATGCCACATGAGTCTACATCAGACTGGTGGTTGTCCTGGGACCAGGAAGCCTGGTGGAGGGGAACTTCTTGGAACAAGGAGACTATGGTGATGTCACTTGTTTGGATAGGTGTCTCTCAAAGGCCACATCTTAAAGACTTGGTGCCCAGCTGGTACTATTGGGAGGTGGTAGAAACCTTTAAGAGGTAGCGTTTACTTGGAGGAAATTAGTTCACTGCCAGCATGTTCTTGAAGGGGACATTGGGACCTGGCCCCTTCCTTTCTCCCCTTGCCATCATGTACTGTGCCGTCACAGGCCCAAACAAACAGGGCCAAGTGACCACAGACTCAAACTTCTGAAACTGTAAACAAAAGTCAGCCTTTCTTTCTTTCAAGTTGACTCATCGCAGGTATTGGTAACAGTGATTGAAAACTAACACAGCAATCATGATGAGGATAGTGGTTTTGCAACTATTGATGTCATAATGCATCAGTAACATTACATTTTATTTGTATAAATTATACCTTATAATGTGGATAATTGTTTTTATATGAGATGCTGACATGGGTTCCACCAAAAAAGGAATGAAATTGTGAACTACAGGAAATTAAAGGATGAACACATTTTAGCTGGTTTATTTATACAGGATGGCCCAAACCTCTGCTAATGTGAACCGAAGTCAAGATGCTTTTAATGCTCATTAAAAATAGAAGAGGAAATGCTTCACCAGGCAATACCTGCTCTGAGTAGTTTGAAGTACAAATCTATCTAAGGGCTATACCACCATGCTTGTACACACCTTGTTCAGAAAAATACTTCCCTCCTGTGCCACAAAAACACAACACACAACAATGACCGATTGAAAATTTAAGTCTAAAGCTAAATATCTGTATCCAGGCTCAAGAGCACACTCCTGTAGTTTCAGCAACTCAGGAGGCTGAGACAGGAGGATCACAAGTTTGAGGCCAGCCTCAGAAACTTAGTGAAACTCTGTCTCAAAATTAAAAAAAAAAAAAAAAAAATTAAAAAGCCTGGGGATGTAGCTCCGTGGCAAAGCACCCCTGGGTTCAATGTCCAGTACCAAACACCACCACCAAAGAATGGGTCTCTATTTTATGAATTAGTATTATTTTAATATGAACATTTTCCCTGGGAGAAATCAATGACATTTTCGTAAGGTTTCTTCTTGGAATTCTGTAAAATACAATGGGAATGGCCTTTGGGTGATGCTCTGGACAAAATTTGCAGCTACAGGAAGTAGAGACAAAGCTGAGACAGGGAGAGAAACTGATGTGACTCCATTCTAAAAACTAAATAAATAACAGCAGCTTCTACCTCAAGGCCTGTCCTAAGGAAGGGGGCGTGACCCTTGTCCTTGGAAAACCCCCCAGAGCACTCCTAGGCACATACCCACCCTGCTGAGTTGTTTGTCTGTAAATAACAGGAGAGGTCTGTGGAGCCAGGTGTCCCTGACTCAGTCAGGCTAGGTGGGGACCCATAGCAACCCCCTAGCAGCCACCAATCAGCATGAGACAGGGAAAATACCTGGGATGCCAGATGACCCCCCAGTAGTTTATGGTGGTTGATAACATGTTGGGAAACCATGTAATTCAGCATGTACACCCCTCGTGGCCTAAACCAGTCAGTTCAAAGGAATCCCCCTCTTGTACCAACCAATCACCGCTACCCAACCTGTTCCCACCAGTGAACTTGCTAATCAATGTTAAGAGTTGTTGTTTGATTTTTTTCCTGCGGTATGAAATGATTTGCTGTGTGATGTTGTGACACATGGAGTATCCCCCCCAAACCTATAAAATCTCACTGAACAAAGGGCCGGGACTCACTCCCTGGGTCCACTGCATCAGAAACAGTTGTGAGTCCAGGCTGGAGCTTGCAATAGACTCTTGTGTGTTTCCATCGGATTCGACTCCTGGAGGTCTATTGGGGTCCCACGAATCTGACATTATAAGGGAAGATAGATGGGTGGCACACTGCATGTGCCCTGGGTAAGTTCTTACCCCTCCAGGGAATACTGGCTTTTTTTTTTTTTTAGAAGAGGAAAAGTTTATTTTGGCTCATGGCTTCAGAGGCCTCAGTCCATAGATGGCTGACTTCATGGCTCTGGGCCTGAAGAGAGGCAGAACATCATGGCAGAAGGGTGTGGCAGAGGAAAGCAACTCAAGACATCACACCAGGAAGCAGAGGGAGTGAGCTCTGCTCAGTAAGGACAATGACCCACACCCTGCTGGCCTTCAGTGAGAGCTCAGTTCATCCCCACCAGGGGACTAACTCACTCATTGCAGTTCACCTCTAAACTCTCATACACTGTCTCACACATGCGTTTTGGGGGGAACCTGGTATCTAAACCATAACACTCACATATGAGTCTTAGGGGGACACCTCATGTCTAAACCATGATATTCTGCTCCTGGCCTCCAAAATCTCATGCCCATCTCACAATGCAAAATAGGTTTAGTCCATTTCCAAGAGTCCCCGTAGCCTTAACAGTTACAGCATTGCCCAAAAGTTCAAGCTGAAAATCTCGTCTGAGACTCAGGGCGAACTCTTAGCTGTGAGAGCAAAGATCAAAAGCAAGTCACGTATATCCAATGTATAATGGCACAGAGTCAACATTTCCATTCTAAAAGACAGATAGATATAGGCAGAAGAAAGAATGAATGGGACCAAAAATGGGACCAAAATCCAGCTGGGCAAAGAAGTCCAATAGCTTCCGGTCCAGCATCTGAGGCACCTGTTCTCTCCAAAGGGCTTGCGTAGCTGCACCCCTGTGCCTTTCTGGTTGCAGCCCACGTGGCATCTCTCAGCTTCTTTCTGCTCAGTTCCTTCAGCTTTCCGCGCAGACGCCCCACATTACTGGTATTTCTTAATCTCAGGGGTCCCCACGGCAGCTTCAGCCTCCTTCTCACATTTTCCTTCCTCACCCTCTCAGGGGCAGCCTGCAGGGCCTCTGACCCTGCTGTACTTTGCCTGGTCTCCCAGGTTCTTCTTTGAAATCTCAGTGGAAGCCCTCAGGCTCCCCCAGCTCCAGCATCCTGCGTCCATGCAGAACCAGGACCACTTGACTACATCAAGGTCTGTTGCCTTCTCTAGGTAGTATCCAGGCCACCTGGGCCCATGACTGCAGTGACCTCTGAGTCCCTGAGTGGCTGAGCAGGGTGCCCCTGTGCAAGCAGTGTGCTCCCATGGTCTCTTCTCAAAGGAATTTTACTTTGACACCTTTGAGCCTGTGATGGGCAGAATCTTATCAATTCCTGAGATGCCCTCAAGCCAAGTCTCCTACTGTTTCTGAATAAAGTACTTTGCTTTTCTTTATAATCTCTTTAACAACTACGCCTTCTGGGCCTTAATTTTACTTACACTTTCTGGGCAAACTGCATGTTTTTTTAAAATCTTTCTGCTTTTTTTCCCCCCTGCTTCTGGTTATCACAGTAAACTTGGGGGAAAGGTGACAGCGATAGTCATGCCACCCCCTGAATGCAGTGCTGCCTTGAAATTTCCTCCACCAGATTAATTAGTTCTTTGCCTGTAAATTCAGCCTTACAGAAAGTCTCAGGATATCCACAAAATATAGTTGACTTCTGTGCCACAACATAACACAAATGGCCTCTAGTCCAATTTCCAATAGTCTTCCTTCTCCCCTGAAACCTCATAAACCCAGTCTTTATTAGAGGTTGGGGAGAGTGGTACTGGGGATTGAACCCAGGGGCACTCCACCACTGAACCACATCCCCAGACCTATTTTGTATTTTTTTAAAATTTTTTTATTTAGAGACAGGATCTCACTGAGTTGCTTAGTGCTTTACTTTTGCTGAGGCTGGCTTTGAACTCGCAATCCTCCTGCCTCAGCCTCCCGAGCTACTGGGATTCCAGGCATGTACCCCTGCACCCAGCATGAGCCCAGTCTTGACTATCCATAGTTCTATCACCATTCTGGTCTTTCGGGCTTCCACAAGAATGGCCCAGTAAGTTTTGTTCGCAACATGCTATACCTTTTTCAGCTTGCACCTCTAAATTTCAAAATTCCTTCTCCCACAAACCAGCTCCAAAAGCTTCTGAACCACATCTGGTTAGTCACAGCAACAACCTCACTTCTCAATGTTAATTTCTGTTTTGGTTAGATTTTTTATCGCTGTGACCAAAAGATCTGACAAGAACAACACAGAGGAGGAAGTTTATTTGGGTTCACGGTTTCCGAAGTCTCGGTCCATAGACAACCGACTCCATTGCTCTGGGCCCAAAGTGAGGCAGAGCATCATGACAGAAAGGCACTTTGGAGGAAGGCAGCTCAGGACATGGCAATAAGGAAGCAGAGAGCCTGAATGTTAATTCTTGATTTGTGTAGTTTTGTGGTTTGTTTGCTCATTTATTTTTGGTGCTGGGGATGGAGCCAGAGCCTCATGAACACTAGGGGAGCGAATCCTGCAACTAAGCTACACACCAGATCCTCTTCTGTTTTTAAAATAAATAACCAATGTGTTGACATTTGGATGCCACATTTAAATTCACATATTTAGGAGTCTGTAGATGAAAGGCAATTCAGGAGTTATCCGCATGTGCCTTTGGGGAATGGAACGTAAATACATAAATAAATAAATCATAGCTTCAAGTAAAAATCTACAGAAAAAAATGTTTAAATATTAAAAAAAAAACCTTAAGTAAGACATTATGATAATCAGAAATCCCTTTCCAAAGGATCTATTTTAAAGAGTCCATATAGCCAGAAGAAACCATACTATAATCTTTTGCACTGTTACTTGAAATTAACTGCCTATGTTACATCTGTTGGTTCCTCTTTGATTCTATTAAGTGGCATTCAAATAGTTGCATAAAAATATATGACCTATAGTTTCCATTGCAGAAATGTGTGAAATAAAAAAACGGTTTTTCCTACTCTCATAGTCAACACAGCATGAAACAATTCTGGAAAACCAGATGTGTGCGAGGGTTGAACCACACATCAAGCAACTTTCCAGCGGACACCAACTAGGGAGCCTATGACACAAGACTGCCCCCACCTCAGATGCTAATCCCAGGCCCCAAGTTGTGGTCTGTGCTTCTGACCAAGCAGTTGTAAATCAGGGTCTGTAGGATGCTCTCCTTAGGTCTTTGTTAGGGAGACTCATAGAACTCAAGAAACACTTTACTTACGTTTATTCATTTATTATAGAGGACATGAATGAACACTCAGATGAAGAGAGGCACAGAGGAAGCATGTCCTCTCCGGACATGCCACCTTCTAGGATCATTCGTGTGTTCAGCAACCTGGAAGCTCTCTGGACCCTGTTATTTTGAGTTTTTATGGAGGTTTATTACATATTCATGATTGATGAAACCACTGGCTATTTCTGATCCACTCAGCCTTCAGCCCTTCTCCCTCCCTAGAGATGGGGGTGAGCAGAGCTGAAAGTCCCAACCCTCTAATCTGCAAGGTTAATTCCCTGGCAACCTGTCCCATCTAGAGGCTCCCCAGGAGCTCCCAGCATCAGTCATTTCATTAGCAAAAGACACTTATCATTTTGAAGATTCCAAGGGATTTAGGAGCATCTTGCCAAGAAAGAGGGACAAAGACCAAATATATATTCCTTACTATAAATCACAGTATCTCAAGGAGTGTGAGGCATAGAAACGGCTGTCCTGTAAGCCTGTCTCCAAGGACCATCTGAATCATATTATACATTGATTTGTTCTTTGCTTTAGAAACAGTTTCTGTTCTGCTGCGACCCCATTAAAAATATTTATTAAACCATGCCAGTCTAATCTATGTGCTTAGTTTTTGGAAATCCCAAGTCCAGCAATAAAAGAATGTCATTTGACCCATGTCAGTTTATTGTGCCTAGAAATATCATCCTGGGCTTGAGTAGAAAACGATTAGTAGTAGCACCTTGAAGTACTCTAAGGAAATGAAGAAAATAAAGATTATAATTGTTTTTAATGTCTCTGCCATTTAAACTTATATGGTCTTTTAAAATAAGTAGTCATTTCCTTAATAGGACTCAGAATTTCATCTGCTCCCAATCTACTGGGTGATATAAAAGCGAGCACTGTCTGCCTAGTACTGAATCTTCCAGCAGACGTTCAGCTGATGGGATCCAGAGCTACGCTCAGACATCAGCCTCTGGGGACAGATACCAAATGACGGCCACATAGGTACTTCCAAGGGCAGAATCGAGTCCAGTAGTGGGGCCCCTGGGTATGTAGAGCATCCTTATGGACCAATTTCTACAATGTCATGGCATGAGAAGGATTAGCCTTATTGGAAGATAATTGTACTGTAAGGCTGAAGTAATTTGTAGCAGACTTGAAGAGTTGAAAACACTGATGTGGTAATTAAATATGAATGTTCTCACTTCCTGCCAGCTAACAATGAGATTCTCATCCAGAGAAAGTTTGCACCAAATCAACACCACAAAGACCATCAAATCTGAACTTTGGTGGCGATGGGGAGCAGCTCGCTTAGGTAGAAAGTTAGTTCAGATCCTATATTTGACCAATAAGTGAGTTTCTATCAAGGATAAAGGAGGTGAGACAGTCTTGACCCTTTTCAACTCTTTTCCATTTTTCTAATAGGTCACACTCAAAGTTATTATGAATGTTCATGGTCAAAGGAAATGCTAGGAAAATATCTGTAGATTTTTCTGAGAGCCAATAGATGAGAATAAAACTTTGAATTAGTTTTAGTTCTAACAATACAGTGGTACCCGGAAAGCATCGGTTTACAAAGTGCCACTGGGCAGGCCTTTCTGGCTCTGTAGTTCCTGTTTGTGAGAAGCAGAGGGAGACAGGAGCTACTGAGCTGGTTCCTTGGCTGAAACTCACAGTGAGAACTGGACACAGTTTGATTTCACCATTATGACTAGAAGGACAGTAGCAGATAGTCAGGCTGGGACCATTTCAGTGCATTTCTAAAGTCCTTGTGTGTAAAGGCTCATGTTTGCAAAGGTCCTCATCTGAGAAGTCCCCCATTTATGAAGACCCACATTTGTGAAGGTCCTCCTGAGGCAGTCCAGCTGGCTCTCAGTCTTGAGGGGTTCATTGACTGGAAAACTGGGAGTTAAAAAGTATGTCAGTCTTCAAGACTATCGAACAAACACACCTAGAGACAGAAGGTTGAGAGTCAGCTCAATCTTCTAAGACTCTGTGGCCAGCACAGATACCAAAAAGCCAGAACCGAGAAAGTAAAGGTCATTAAAATCAAACCCACTGAGATAGGGCAATAGTCTGCCTGGTTCTGAAAATTATATCGAGGGCTCTCCCAAATGGTAAAAGGCAAATTCCAGATTGTGAGGGGCAACACATGTGTAGAATAGTCACTGAGGTAGCCGGGTGCAGTGGTACATTCCTATAGTCCCAGCAACTCAGGAGGCTGAGGCTGGAGGATTGCTAATTTGAGGCCAATCTGGGCAACTTAGTAAGGCTTTGTTGCAAAAAACAAAACAAAACAAAACAAAAAAAGAACAGGGATGTCACTCCGTGGTAGAGTGCCCCTGGGTTCAATCCACAGAATTCTGCACAAACACACACACAGGTCACTGAAGTAACCCACAAGTACATTTACCTTATTAGCACAGTAAGTCACACCCTGAGGTGGAAACTTCAGATGTTAATGAGACGGATGATGAGGCATGATGAATAAGGGCACAGATGCCACTCATCTGCCTCTGCATGTGATGACATTGCGGACCAGTCCCGCCTACCCTGTAGATGCCATAAAAGCTGTACGCCTTTGTCCTCTGTCTGAGTCAGCCTGAGATTTCTGTCCCCCATGCATTGCCTCCCTCATGCCTAAGTGTAAGCATAGTCCTGTTCCTGGGCCGATGAGTCTATGGAGACCACAGGAACCCCTAGCACTTGCTCTCGAAGGCCTACATTTATGAAGGCCTCTTAAGGTGGGAGGTCTGCGTGTTTTCTCTTTGGGTTTTGGTTTCTGCAGTGCTGGGGAGGGAACCCAGGGCCTCCTTCATGCTAGGCAAGCACTTACCACTGAGCTGCAGCCCCAGCCCAGGAAGGTCCCCATTTGTGAAGGTCCTTGGCGGAGAGCTGGGAAGAGCCAAAAGGCTGTCGGAGCTCCCTTCCTCTACCTCAGCACATGAGCAGATGGCTGTCCACAGGAGTTCTTCTTTCCCCTGTGGGATCACGTGGTAAGAACTCTGAGGCCTGAGGACACGTGAGGGAAGGGGACCAGGGGGTAGGCCCACCAGAGCAGCACTTTACGTGAGTCCATCTGGAATGTGGGTTTCCTGAGGGGAAGCACATACTTTACGAACCACTTCAGAAAGTTTTCATGAAACCCAAGTTTAAGTCAATGGACGTCAATTATATAAAAGAAATCGATCCTCTTATAAATTCAGCCATCAGGGTGGCCAGAACCCTCCTCTGGGTCATCAGTTTCCCAGCCACACTGTGGTGGGTCGCTCACTGGGATGCACTGGAAGGGCACTTAGCTCTTCTCTGGTGGTAGTTCCCAGGCCATTCATTTTGCTGGCCCTGCAGCCAGAGGGAGAGGTCCAGAGGGGAGAGTGCACTGGAGCCCTCGTGTTGCTCTCTTGGGCCTGCAGGTGCTTTTGACAACATGCAAATAGTTGCCAACATATAAAAATTTGAGAAGATTCACATTAAAAATAAATTCTGATTTCTACAGAAAAATCAGCAGCTCTGAGCCTCCGGCATGGCAGGAGCTGCCCTGGGCCAAGAAATGAGCTCCTTGCCTGATGTGCTCTGCATCTGCCCAGGGCCCTCCCGCTCCGCTCTCCTCCTTATGCCACCTGCTCTACAGGAATGATGCCACCATTGTCCTCAGAGTGAGGCCCAGGTCCCAGGGTGAGGACTGAGCTCTATACTGCAAAAGGGTCTGATCCTCACTCCTCCAAAATTCTCCAAGGACTCAACACAGACGAACTCGTCTTTATTTTCACTTTCATGGACAAGGTCTATGTTGCAGAAACTGATGACCAAAGTGAGCCCAGGCAGGACTTCACCTTTGGATTGCTGAGAACAGAGGGCAGCAAGGGAGATGCTGAGCAGGACCCCAGGACACGGACTCACCAGTTTGAATTCATGCTGTCTCAGAAAACAGATGTCAACGTCTAACAAAGTTCCCTGATAAGTCCATGGGGTATGTGTCCCTGGATCAAAGAGTTTAACTACTTACACCACTTCAGCTAAGCCTTAGGAGGAGGCAAGAAGTGTATATGTTCTCATGGGGATAGGAGGTGTCCCCCCAAAGCTCCTGTTAGTGCAGGAATGTTCAGAGGTGAAATGATTTGATTCTGAGAGCTGCAACGTAATCAGTCCCTCCTGCTTCTAATAGACTAATCATGGGGACTGTAGGCAGGTGGGGCATGGTTGGAGGAGGTGGGTCACTGGGCATGTTTCCTGTTAAGGATTCATCTCCCCTGTAGCCCCCCATCTCTCTCTCTCTCTCTCCCCCTCTCCTTCTCCCTCTCCCTCTCTCTCTCCTTCCTGACCTCTGTGAACTGGACAGCTTTCCTCCGACATGCCCTTCTGCCATGACGCTCTGCCTCACCTCGGGCCCAGAACAATGGAGTGGGCCTACCGTGGACTGAACCTCTGAAACCATGAGCCAACATAAACTTTTCCTCCTCGAAGTTGCTCTTGTCGGGCAGCTTGGCCACAGTGAAGAAAAGCTGACGAACACAGTGTTTTGAAAGGGTTCAGAATACATGAAAATACGTCAGTCTGGCCTAAGGATTACTTTGAGCTGAAACCTATGGGTAAACGCAGACGCAGGACAAGCTCTCCGCCATCCCCCATCTTCCTGAAAGCAAAATGCTCCTTGCAAAGGTGCCCCACGCCCCACTTCTGTTACCCAGAGGGGGGAACAGATGAAGAGACAGTCTCACAAAGGAGCCTCACTCACTAGCTCTAGTTTCCATTCTTTGCTCAGATAACTGCCTTCCCACAATTTGCTGTCTCTAGGAGCTTGGAGTTCCTTTGTCTTGTCACTTCTGTACAAATTAATGACTCTTGGCTAAGGTGCTAAAGAAGCCCAGATTCTGACCACCTCTCTGGGTCACCTGTCTCTGAGTGCTCCCCAGAGAAGCATTCCATAGGCACTGGTGAGCTTCCGTGTGTCTGTCTCTTGGTTATTTGTCCTTTGTGGGTGTAGTTTGCAGGACATCATTCAGAAAACCCGAGGTGGGTAGAGGAAAAAGGATAGTTTTTCCAAAAGCATCGTGCGGTGAACTGAACGTGACTTTAGTCCCAGCCATTCAGGAGGCTGAGGCAGGAGGATCCTTTGAGCCCAGAAATTTTGGGCCCAATTGGGCAACAAAGCAAGACACCATTATCAAAAAACAGCCAGATGAAGTGGCGCACCCCTGTAATCCTAGCCTCTCAGGAGGCTGAGGTAGAAGGATCCAAAGTTCAAAGCTAGCCTCAGCAATTTAGCAAGATCCTGTCTCAAAAATAACTAACTAAATAAATAAATAGGGCTGGAATGTAGCTCAGTGGTTAAGGTTAAGAATCCATGGTTCAATCCTAGGTACACACACACACAAAAAAAAAAGGCATAGTTGTTTTTTTTTCCTCCCCTTCAGTTTGTGAAACATTGTTTTATGTTTTACTAATTTTGGATTAAAGGTATTTCTGATGTGCAAAGTAATTCAAATGGTGATCGTTAAAGGAAACATTAAATGCATTAACTGAATTATATTATTTTACAGGTTTTATTCATCACATTAAAGGTTTTAAAAGACCAACATGGAGCTAGGGGTGTAGGTCAGTGGTAGAATGCCTACCTGCAGGCACTGGGTTCAGTGCCCAGTACTGGGGCGGGGGCAGAGTCCAGTATGTG